TAAATTAGCTTAGCTTAGCATAAACACTGAAAACATGGTGCCACAACTCGACCGACTCTGCGCTCTCAAAGTAACGTCTGGACTAAATAAAAAAAATATGCAGAAGCTTCCATAAATCTTTTTGGTATATTAAAGGTGTCTTTAATGATCTTGGTGAAACTGTCCAGACGTGTTGAGACGTGAAGCCCTGAACTCAGCGCGAGGTGCCACTTCATGTTCACTTACCTCAACTTGAACCTGGTTTTAAATCAATGAACCTGTATTAATTACAGTTTAAATCACACACAGTAATAAGATGATGCAAGTACCAAGATTTTATGTCTATTAAAATAATAACTACAACTAAAAAGGCTTAAAGTTATTATTATTATTATTATTTAAATGAGCGCATTTGATTTTATGGATGCATTTAATGAAGAGGCTGAACAGGTCCCTTGAGTTACTTTTTAAGAGCGTGTCCTCGGCTCGATGAATAACTTGATGTATCTGGTTTACTTAAGCAGCACCAACCTACAGAATGTAAACAGCGTGCCAGCGTTCTGCTGCCTGCAGACTTTCTCCTGAAGCTAAACTACTAATTACTGGCGATAGCTTCACATGTAGCACACAGACGTAGGAGCAGAACTGATCTTCCCATTTAATCCTGGGTTCAGTGACTTCTCAAAAATGTCAAACTATAGCTTTAAAACGTATTGATTGTATATCATATAGGAACCAAATGGTTTTCCTGCTCGGCTCATGTGCTCTGCTGGGGGAGCGCCTGTGGTCTCATTATGCTTCTACACTGCTGGAACACGCTGGCACTGATGTGCTCAGCATGGGTTTTATTTTAAAAGGAAATCTTAATTTGTAGGTTGTTTTGTACAGCAAGTACAAACTCTGCAGTTGTTTTAGAGCAAAATCATCATTTTAAATGTAGAGCTATTTGCTTCACTTTCAACAAATAATTTGGACGGAGACGTTCTGGAGAGTCTGGCTTTGATGTAAATGTGAGCGCACGGTAGTCGGTTCAGGTCGGTGGAAAACAAGCTGCCATGGTGCTAGAGGCCGTCTGCCGAAGGCCTCGCTGCGTTTCGACTTTCGCAACTCACCAACGAAAGATTCTAAAACTGGATTCCTCAAGAAAACAAACAGAAGAAGCGTTCAGTTGAAATCCTATATTTCCATATATTTCCCTGTTGTGGTAAATCACGGCCGCTCCGTCGCACTAAAAGTTAACAATCTGATTGCACAAGACCATAAACGATATATTCATGAATGCCGTATGACCTCATGTGTTTACATGGCACTCGCCACCAGACTGTGAAACTCAGCTCAGTCGTGTCTCTCCCTGCAGGACAATAAAGATTCAGCTGAACCAGACACAGAAAACACAGGCGCTGTTGGAGAACTCTGTGTTTTAGTTTATTATTGAATTAAATGTCCGGCAGCCTCATATTTCACGTAGCTGAAGAAGTGAAAGTGAGCAGATAGAAATAATAAAATGATGCATGTCTTTTAGGGTCGACAGGAAAATCACGTTAAAACAAAACAGAAAACCTTCAGGAGCAGGACTGGGAGCTGTGGAATGAAGCTGGCACGAGCGTTTGACAAAAACAAAGTCTTTATGTCTCTTGACACCAGACTGGAGCTGAACTGGGAGCAGCGCTGAGATGTTTCCCACATCGGCTTTAATGAACGTGAGCGAGCGCTGCTGAAGGCTGAAGGTGTCGGCATGTGTGCGTGAGAGAGACGCAGAGAGGTCGACCGATTAGACAGAAACAGGGGAAGGAGGAGAAAAACACAGAACGGGAGAACAGGACCGAGTCTTTGGCAAACAGCTCCGGTCCAGATGTGGAAGTCGTCTGAGTTCTATTCCTGCGTGTTGGTGAGCTGAGCACCATGAATATGGAACAGCACCGCTGCCTGCCGGGACCTTCGCTTGTCGTTCACATGTTGAGAAACGGACCTCACAGTCATCATCCCTGACATGTTGAGCAAATATTAGTGCTTGAATAAAAACAGGTGGCCGCTGTAGCTGCTAATGATATTTGCTTAAAGTCCCTCTCTGGTCACTGACTGAAGCCCTGAAGAACGTTTCTGAGCATCATTTACATGTTTTGTTCCATGAAACGAATCCCTTCAGGTCCTGAAACGGGACCGATGTAACTCCAGACTGGTGCCGGCTTCAGAATATGCAGATCTATGAAGCCCCGCCTCTGTCTCCGCCCACATCCTCCACCGATCGCTGCAGCTCAGCACACCAGCTCACCTATGACTCTGTAAAGCTTCTCTGCAGCGACACAACAACACCGGAGGGATTCAGCTGTACATGACCAGAAATGCTGAAGAAGAAGAAGAAGAATAGGAGACACCTCTGAGCTGACAGGTTCTGTTCCTGGATCTGAGTTCCTGAGTGTCCAGGTGGAGATGCTCCTCCGTGGGGCTGACGTTGCTCATCATGTGTCTTCCAGCATATAATAAACCTCCACATGGACACGCTAACAGGGTGAAAAACCAACGTGCTATTCACCAGAGGGGGTCTTTAAACCTCCATGACTCAGTCGTACAGAAACAATCTGAGGCCAGCGACACTCGATCTGAGCCAGAATTTAACAATTAACTGAGTCATTATAATAACCAGTGATGCGTCACACTCCTGAACTCCTGATCTCTTACTTTTTATTTGCTGTGTCACCAGTTCTGCACTGACTCAGGAATTCAGAACGTTTTACTCAACTTACAGTCAGCTAGTCGTTACCGGGTGGAGACTTCTGAAGTCTTGACATAATTTTAACATCATAATTTAGTTTAAAACAAAAATTCTAAGTCTGAACTGTATCATCAAATGTTTTTCATCTCATAATTTCAAATATATTTTTTTGCTAACTGCAGGCATTTTAATTTCATCTCCCTTCTCTGAACAGAACACAAGCAGCCCCGCCGACACCGTCTCATAACTGGTGTTAGTTTGTAGTTCATGCTGTAATTAAAACTGCAGTAAAGGATCTCTGCCGCTGCTTTGATTGAGGAGGGGGTTCATGCATCAGCCGTGTTTACAAAGACCTGTGATTCAGAGAGTCCCGCTACCATCAGTCACACTGTGAGTCAGAGACACCCGGAGACCCTGATGACAGCCGGCAACACATCCTGCTGTCGAGCTGGAGTCACAGCCACTAAACCTCTGAGTCTACCAGCCATCCAGCCCTCCTCACAAGTCTTGAAATAATTAAGCACAAAAAGTTGCCGTCGCTGCCAGATCTCCCAGATCAGGGAGCTGTGATAAATCCCTCTGGGAGAAAATTTGATGTGGGATTGTTTTCCTGATCTTCTAAATTTGTGTATGGCAACTTAATTGCGTCTGAGCGCTGAACTGGTGTAGTGTTTTACTACTCTGGTGACTCCATGCTGGCAGAGGGCTCGGCTCCCCCTGCGCCGGTGGGGGGAAGCCTTTTTATTTGTGGTTTCTGAATCTTTATTCTAAGCTACTCATAAAGCACCAAGATGAGTGATATCATGTGGTCTTCATCAACAAGGGAGCTTTTTTGTTATACTTTATGGCCGTTTAAACGGAAAGATTAAAGAGCGTGACACAGACGCACAGTTCCAACAACCTCTCGTTTCTTCTTCTTCACATCCACAGAAACTTTGCAGAACCTGTGGGACACGAACATTTTGTGCAGCTTTCAAAAAGTTCTGCAAGATGCTCCCTAAAGAAAGGACCTGCATCTATTACAGAGCAAACAGGACAGCTTCACAGATGAGCCTGAGAAACCGAGAGGGTTGGTTGGCTCTGCTGGAAAATGATCTGCTGTAGACAGGAGTCACCAGGCAGGGAGGGTCTAACCACATTAGGCTGCTGATTGTATTAGGGGAAGTGAATATCAGGCATCACTGACCCACACCAGCTCTACAAGTCAGGATATCTCAGCGCCTCCTGCTTTCATGTTGTTTTTGTTCATACGTTCTCAGTGAGTCTCTTCATAGAAGTCAGACAGAAAACCTGCGTCCTGTAAACTATGTAGAAAACTAATCCTGATCGGACTATTTCAGCACGTCTGAGTGATTAAACTGAGTAGTTGTCGGCTCATGCTGTCAGTGCAGGACACTGGATGGAAAATGTTCCATAAACTGAGAATAAAACACAAAAAATCATCTCATTTTTTAAATATTACAGCTTATAGACTCATCCTGTTCATCTGTCCGCCTCCTAAATTTAACACAAAAACTAATGTTGATGAACCTGAAAGTTTTTCCTTTCAGCCAAACTCCCTCTCCTCCTCTTCCTCCTCCTCCTCCTCCTCCTCACCACCGTCCTCCTGCCCAGCATCGCTCCTCCGACTGGGTCGCACCGTTCCGCCTCGCACAGGGCGCAGGCTAAGTGTTTTTGGTTTCCTTATCTTCAGGGATCTCTATCCTGCTTTAACGAGCCACTTGACCTCCCTCGGCGCTCTCCTACTCCCGGAGTGACGCAAAAAAAGAAAGAAAAAAAAAGTGGGCTGGCGGAGCGCTAAGTGCAGCAGTTTGGAGGCTGTGGGTGCGCTCAGAAACATCTCCGCTCCAGCAGAGTCCACGCAGAGCGCCTATAGGTGCAGCCTCTCCCTCTCCCTCTCTGTCGGATGTTAAACGAACACCTTGTTGGCGGAGGTACCGGCATGTGCGCGGATGTGCTTAAGAGGGAAAACACTGAGTTCTGCTCACACTTGTAGCAGCCTCCTTCATTCAGGGAGTTGGGGAGGTTGATGAAACTTTTTCCTGAATGAGTAATCCCGCCGCTGGCTGGCGCATCTGGATCCAGGAGCTGTCAAGTCCAGCGCGCAAAGTTTTCAGCTGGACCTGGTCTGACCCTCTGCTTCTATCTTTTTTTATTATTATTTAATTTTTCTTTTTTTGTATTCCTAAACTTTGAGGCGGAATATTTGGAATTTGTTTGAATCAAACTCTCCTCTTTTAATTTTTAATTTTAATTTTTTAAATAACTTTTTAAAGTCTTTTTATTTTGTTTTTTTTTTCTAATCGAAAGGCTCAAACATGGACTCATTCCTCAGAATAACGTGCATCTTGGTGGTTTTCTGTCTCTTGGATAAAAGGTGAGTTCAATTCATAAGAAGTGACTGAATTCAAAGTGCAGTAAAGTTTCTATCTGTGCTGCTTCAGTACAGATAAAAACATTTTAATCAACTTTAACTGAAGTGATCTGATGAAGGATTTGTTCAGTAATTTACAGTATTTATGCTGATGTGTCCTTAAAGCTGATATGAGCAAGAATCTATTTTTATTTTTTATTTTATTTACAATTTGATGATCTGACAGATGATCTGCCTCCTTCACTCACCAACAAAGTGTCCACTGACAAAATAAAATTAAGAACAAATATAAAAAGTTTGCTTTTGTAGAAGACGCTGGTTGAACTTGTTTAAATTGTCAGAGCAGGAAACACAACAGGTAGCAGCACAAACCAAACTGGATTCAAAGTGCAGCAACCAGCACAACATTTAACGTCGCTGCAAGTCGTCCCCTAAAAGCCCAGTTCTGCTCCGTCCGGCACCAGGTGTTGGTGAAGTTTTAAGCCTGGTTCTGTGACTGAAACTTGCAGAATTTAACACGTGTTGACGAAACCAGCAGTATGCAAAGCAGAGCGTGCGTGTGTCGGTAGCTCTTCCCTACACCTGGGGATCGGTGTGTGCATGTCGGGATGTGCTGGAGCATGTGCGTACGAGGACGTGTGCGCGTTTGCCTGGAACTATGCGTGGCCCTCAGTGCATGTCGTGTGTTTGGTCGTGACGAGGCCGAAAAAGCAAAGCTGGACACCTTGCAGCTGTGGGCCGTCAGCCTGCGACTGTTTCTCTGTGAAGCAGCAGAAGAGCCGAGGCCGCTGTCAGCTGAATTACTGGTGTTCACATGATTGATTTGCAACAGAAGCATCAGACGGTTGAGTTCAGAGACACACCTTACAGCTAATAAGAAGTGATCTGCTAAAGTATTTCCTCTAGAGGTTTTATGAGGCGGGTAAGTTTTTTTTTTTTTATCTGTCTGTATCTGAAAAGGTTTCTAAAACAATCAGCCAATGAAGGACGGTCAGGAGACTGGACTGGAGCGATATGAACATGGCGGGCAAATGGTTTTCTGCCCACATTTCATTTCCTTTTTATTCACTGTCAATACGCGTTTATTTTGATATTTCTGATTTTGGCAGCAGCTTTGCTCCATCCTAAACTGAATCAAGCTAGAAACCCAGAGGAGCAGATCTGAGAGCTGCCCTCTAACCGCCAGCATCTGGAGAAGTTTCTTTTTAAGTGTGAACCCACAGTTTGTGTATTTTTGAGGTTTTACAGGAATCGACTGTGCTGGGGACCATCAGGGCATCTTTTTGGTGCTGTGGGAACCGAGCCCTGGGGAGACACCCAAGAAACAACAACAGACACATTACAGGCTTCTGCGACTAAAACAAAGATCTGAGCTGCTCTCGACAATAACATGACCTCTATTCCTCATGCAGGGCAGACTCCAACGAAATCTTGGGCCTGAAGCTCCCCAACATTGACCCGATCCTGAACGCCAACACGGTGTGTCTGACACTGCCAGGCTTGACACGGCGCCAGCTGGAGGTGTGCATGCGTAACCCAGATGTGACAGCCTCAGCAATCCAGGGAATCCAGATTGCCATCCATGAGTGCCAGCACCAGTTCAGAGGGCACCGCTGGAACTGCTCCAGTCTGGAGACGAGAAATAAAATACCCTACGACAGCATCGTCTTCAAAAGAGGTCAGTTTGGCGCTCACCGTCTATGAACTCTGTGTTTCTGCCACTTCTGGCATTTTGCATCTCAAATGCAAAAGTTTCCAACTTTCAAAAGTTACACAACCCCCACGACAGGAAGTGAAGCCGACACGTTTGGTCTAAAAGGCTAAATGACTTTAAAGGAGGCGGTTCAGTGGAGGTGAAATGTCACCACAGGCAAAAGTTCTGCCTTCAAACAGACTGTGATTTCCTCCTTAAACACACTTCAATGGACAACCTTGAAAGGATGAGCTTAAGAAGATTATCTGCCACAGAGATACAAAAGGTTCTGAACAAGAGTTAATATAATTCTTTCAAACACGACCATACAAAGAGATCATTTTCCCCACAGATACAGTTCATCAATGCCATCTCACAAGGCGTCCTCCCAGCGCCCGGTTATCTCTAGTCACCAGCAGATTGGTTTCTGCTTTCCAACAAACTTCGTGTAGCTTTTCAATAACCCATACAAAAGAGCAGGTAACTTCAAAGTCAGTTAGTCACCTCCAGATTACCAAACCTCATGCAGATCAGTTTTCTCTGATGCTTTGTAGTGCGTGGAGCTTTGCAAGCCAGCCACAAAGGATGAAAGCGGATCTTCAGAGTTGGGAAGACTTCAGATGGTCTCATCCCGGTTATTGACTGGAAAAGGCATCAATTTCTTAGTAGGCTGAGCACCTGGATAGACGGAACAACACGCAGCAGGGTCGGTAGTTTGAGTCTTGACTTTAATTGGCTTTCATTTATTTTATTCTTTCCTGTCGGGATTTGCTGTAATTAATTTTCTCCGTGAAGGTTGAGTCAGCAGTTTTAATCCGGTGCAGCTTTAGTTAAATTCACTGAACATCTCCTCACAGTCTGCGGGCTCTGCGTCTCGTACACGGCCCTGGCTCAGACAGATCCCCACGACACTGTGTCCAGGCAGGTTCACGCTCATGCACGGGGAGGTCAGGGGCAACGGGAGGGACGGCAAACCCGGCACATCAATCTAAATATCACAGCTTCCTCTAGAATCACCTCTCTGCAGCACAACCAGGAAGCTTTAGTCTTCTCTCTGCAGTGGAAGCTAAAGCCCCTCTCTAACTAACTCCAGTCTGCGCTTACACACCTCTGGTCTTACTTTCACTCCTCACTGACTCATTGAAAGGCTGTTTGTCATTATTAGCAGAGGCAGTTGCTGGTTGTCTGGCATCCCCGGTTTGCCCCGGGTGCAGAAACTCAAAACCACTGACATAAACAAGCTCTTTAAATCGGATGATTCATCTGTTACATGTTGATGCGATCCTCTCTACAGAAGCTCAGAAATGGATGCGAGTTAGCGTTCTGCAGCCATCATCGCATGTGGCTACCGCAGAGCAGGGCAGCGCTCTGAATGAGAAACATTTGCAGAGACGGATTAGATGGAGTTTTGGAGATTAACAGAAGTTTTCAGCGCAACTTCCCATAGAAAATAAATGAGAGTGTCACACAAGGCTTACGCGAACCAAACTGGTATTTTCGTTTTACAAATCATGTGGCTGAAACAACAAGTTTATCTGCGGTTTTTAAAAGCTTGTGCAGCACAAAATCATTCCAACAAAACAGATTTAGTTGAAAGACTCTGTTGCTGGAACTTCGCCCAATCAGATGTTCTTTGCAGAGCTTCCTCCAGCCCCACATCGGACGTCCTAAAAAGTTTTTCAGCGGGCTGTCAGGTGCTCTCCACGTTTGTTTCGGTGTCTAATTTTACTGCATCAGATGCTGCTCGGATCCTCTCCGGCTCTGCCACGGATCTCTCTCTGATAACTTTAATGGGCCGAGCTCATCCCTGGTTAGCCTGCATTAAAAACTAGGCTAAAGAGGACGCCAGGCAAGACGTGGATAGACAGAAATAGGAGAATTGGTCCCTCTCTTTCTGTCTTTCTGTCTCCCTCTCCTTCTCTGTCGCTGTGTCTGCGTCCTCCCTCGCCGGGCTGCTCCTAATGCTTTTACTTCCCTTGCCAGTGCAAGTGCTTGTGAATTTGCTCTCAGCACTTTCCCAACTCTCGGCGGCAAAAGCATAAACCTGTTTAGTCGGTTTCTGTAACACAAAGTGACAGTTTCCTTTGAATCTTTAATTCATTTTGCCACTTCCTCTGCCATCAGTTCAGCCGGGCGTGCCGCAGCCGGTGAATTATTTGTTAGATTGATTTGTTCCCAGTCTTCCGGGGGGCTGCGTTGCGGATCCCGGCTCAGAGCAGGGCAGGAGCTAAAACAGGCTCTCTATGTAGGAGGATGTGCCTAAGTGCCATCCCTCGCTCCTCTCCCAACTTGTGTGGGTCAAGGTGGCCGGGTGGAGGAGGGAGGCAGGTCCAGAGTGAGCCGCTCAGATCATACATGAAGTCTCTGAGTTTACGGGTGTTTCTTTCTGGTATAAAAACAAACATATATTTGCTCTGAATGAGACGTTAAACGTGGAGACAGCTGGTTTAAATGATTCTACAACGTCCGTGGATCAAATGACCGCTTGTCCCGAAGGAGCGAGCCGAGGCCAGAAACTGTGAGGACTGTGGCTAGTGGACATAAAGCTGTCAGGTGGCCAGAAACACGAGTCCAGATGAGCGTTGCTTCATCGCGCTGGTCTGCTCACGTGCTCACCTCCTAACGTTTAGAAGTACCGACGCATCGGCAGCGAAATGTAGGCAAAGTAGTAAAAGTACCGGTTTGGTCACCTTCACTCGTCGACTGTGTGAAATCATTAATAATTAATAAAAGTGAAGCGCGTGTGTGTGTGTGTGTGTGTGTGTGTGTGTGTCAGCTGCTGCAGGTGGAGCCACTTTGGACGACTTTATACGCCGTGTTTTATACAGATTCAGATTTATTGTTAACAGTAAGGTGCAAAAAATATTAAAACGTTGTAAACAACTATGTACAACATAAAGGAAAAAGATGAAATTAAACAATAAGCACAGTGTGTGTTGCACAGAGGCAGCTGCATAAGAGCAGCATTAGGATAAAGAGGCGTTTGTGGCTCTGACAGCAGCTGGACAGAAGCTGTGTCTATTAGTGACTACATTTAAAGGCTCCTCACGATTAGCAGAACAGGAAGGAGAATGTTTAGCAAATCTGTTTCCTCTGATCTTTGATTTTGGTGAGATGTTGGATCATTCAAGCATTTATTGAAATGATTATATGAGAGAAGTTTAGAGGAAAAAAAATCATTATTTGATGGAGCTGCTCAGAAACCACGAGTTGTGTTTTCAAAGTTTGTGATATTATCCATCGTATGAAATCTAAATCTCAAAAGGAACTAAAGCTCTGGAATAGATGCATGAATTAAAAAGCACCGTGTTTTAAAATGTGGAGTTAGAAAGTATGTACTTAGTTACTTTCTACCAGGGACAAGGATCAAACTGCATGTATGTAAAGTTAGAAGCTGTAAACTGGTGCAGCACAACAATCCCAGTGAACCAGTAAGAACAATGTTTTGAGACAAACTTTTATATTTGGTTGATTTCAGATGGAAGAATCGTGTGAAAGGGAGTTTTATTAGTTTTGCCATGTGCACAGCTAATTAAAAGCAAAGCATAGCAGTGGCCATATGTGACAATAACGCAGAAGTTCTCTAAAGTCTGAGTTTGTAGGAACTTCTTTCTGTCTCCTGCTGAATGGAGTTTTTTTTTTTTTCTGACTTTTTATGAGGCTGCCACTGGGTTCAGCATGGCAGCAAACGCTACACCAGATATCACCAAAAAAACAAAACGGTATCAAGTTCATTTCAAATATCTAAATAAGGAAGTAACATCAAACAGCGCGAGCAGAAGTGTTCCACTTAATAGCTTTTTATGTGACTCCATCAAGCAGCCTGAATCATTTCCCTCCTCGAGTACGGCGCTATAAACCCCTAAGTGGTTTCTTTTCATGTTTCCTTTACAAGTTTCCATTATAATCCTCACTGTTTCTGGACCAGCGAGTGAGTGCCGGTGGGACGGCTTTGGTAGAACCGGAGGGCACCTTCACAGGCAGTAAGCTGAGATCTAACAACAAACAGCGTGGAGAGCAGGCGGGTCTGTCGCACTTCAACCGTCAATATTCACGGATTCCACAATTGGACATGGGCTGTTTTTTATTTCTGGTCACAGACAGATATCAGCGTGGACTGTACCAGTGTGTGTGAGCATGTTTGTGTTTCCAGAGCTCTGCTATAACATTAGTCTTATGAGCTACAGATCAGTCACGGTGGAGTCGCCCTCGTTACATGCCGCTTAGACGTGCCATCATGGAGAAGGAAAGGGGTGTGTTCAGGCAGAGGCGCTCGGTCACATGTTGTATGCAGACATTACATGCACGCAATCATTTCACCACGTCTCTGCAGTCTGGAGTGATTACAAGGCAAAAAGCCGCAGCATGTCATAATCAGACCCTCTTAGCTAAACACGTGTACGTTTGGTGGTAACGTTTCATCACCATGCATAAAACGATAAAAAACAGAAACACAAAAAGCAATAAAATGATTAAGCAGCAGCCCTCAGCCAGGAGGACAAGCTAGCACCCAATCTGCTGATCGACCTCCAACAATGAAGTCAAAGACGTTTTCTACCTTCTCATCATGTCCATGCGGGCCGTTCTATAAGCTGGGAGACATAACGTGAGTAAAAGAGGCAGTCAGCACCATGGCCGAGCAGTTTCAAGCTAAAACTGCACCAAAGACAGAAAACTATGGACTCAGAGGTTTCATCAGGTGCAGAGCAGACCCAAGGAACTGCTCCTGTCTGGATGCAGGGTGCGATTTTCTGGATCATTATTGTTTTTGGGAAAGGATTTCTGTCTTGAACACGGTTGGCTGAATTCGTCCACCTTGCAAACGCGTGGCAGAGCAGTAACCAGCGTTTGATGGGTGAGCTGGTGTGCTCGAGCTGCTTTGGGGTGAGTGAAGAGAGAGGAAGTCGTAGAGTTACATCTCAGCCATTTCAAGATGGAAAGGGATTGTTTTCATGCAAAAAACATCTCCTAAATACACAAGTTGTGTATGAACGATGAGCAGAGATCAAACGAGAGGCAGGTATACGGGCCAGAACCAGATCCAATGTGATTCAGCCGGGCCGTGGTCCACAGTGATCCAGAACAATAGTTTACCTAAACAGCTGAATATGTTGTCTGTGAGCGGTAGGACAGACAGAAGGAGGCTCAGCCCTGTTTAGTCACAGTGAGCGAGTCCCCGGTGAGGCTCTGATGGGAGTGGTGGAGCTCTGCTCATGTTCAGCTGCTCCACGGAGACCAAGTACGCAAGTGTTTGGAACACTTAATAGCTATTGTCCCAGATGTTTCCTCTTGTTTTATGAGCGCTCGCCTGTGTGCGTATAAACGTGTGAATAAACTGTTCAGTACATTACTGATCTTGTATAAAATAACGAGTGCAGACTCACAAAGCCCCGTCACACATGTTGCTGTGACAAGTTCGTCTGAATTTGAGTTGCAGGCAAAGGAAACTTCAGGTTGCATCCGAAACGTTTACAACTTTAATGAGGGGAATAAAAGAGCCTTGTTGCTGTTTATGACGCTGTTCTGGGTAAAAAATAGGAAATGTGCACTAAAAGAACATCCTTGCAAGCTGCATCTTTGTCACAGACGAGTGATCGTGGATTACCATCAAGTAAATTTCATCTTCCATCCGCATGTAGCCGCTAATCCGCTCATTCAGCTGACAGGTTCATGACACGTATGCATCGGTATGTTCAGCCTGCAGGTCACTGAAATCCTACAGAAAAACTCCATCTTACAGTGAAACACTTGTGATGTTTCTACAGCAGCTTCTTGAGAACTCAGTGGCTCGTTGCCATACGCTGACATGGTCCTCACATCAACTCTTGTTTATGTCAGTTTGCATAAAGCGATAAAACATGTTGTCAGTTCAGAGTGTAAATCCATCGACCTGTTGGCTTCTAGCTGGAAGCTTGTCATGGATCAACCTTTGAAGCTGAGTGCTGTCACCCTCTGTTCAACATGTCCCAGGCTTTCATTTCCCAAACCCTGATGGTGACACTTCTAACAATCTTACTATCTAACAGCGCCGGCGTACTCTGCCTCTGCCTGCAGGTTTCAGAGAGAGCGCCTTCGCGTACGCCATCGCAGCAGCAGGTGTGGTGCACGCCGTGGCCAACGCCTGCTCCATGGGCAAACTGAAAGCATGCGGCTGCGACGAGAAGCGGCGCGGGGACGAGGAGGCCTTCCGCATCAAGCTGCACCGCCTGCAGCTGGAGGCCATCCACCGAGGGAAGGGCATGGTGCACGGCGTCATGGAGCACTTCCCCGCCGACCTGCCGGGGCCCCAGGACTCCTGGGAGTGGGGCGGCTGCAGCCCCGACGTGGAGTTCGGAGAGAAGTTCTCGCGGGACTTCCTGGATGCCCGTGAGACCTACAAGGACATCCACGCTCGCATGAGGCTGCATAACAATAGAGTCGGCAGGCAGGTGAGTGCAAAGCGACAGGATGGGTGTGTTTTTGGTTCCCTAATGTGCATCCGAGCTGCACTGCGCTGCAAGTTTCACCACTTCAGACACACGGTTTACCACATGTCACATTATGTTGCCATGTTCAGCATGTTTTAAGTCCAGGATCTGTCATCAATACAGGATCAGACTATGACTGGGGTTTTCCTTAACGTGAGAGAGCCGTGGATACGTCACATTTTGCTTTTTAGATGTGTCACCACCTAATGTGTGGCTGCTGTTGTGGCAGCTGTACCGGGCAGGAATAAGCGCTTCATAGCTGCGATATGGTGAAGCTTTCTCAGAGCCTGACCCTCCTCTGGATACAGCTGAGCACAATCAGTGATGTAACCAGGAGGCTGCGGTAGCATCACAGGGTAGCATCACCTCCAGAAAGGAGGTTTAAGAACATACACACGAATCTGTTTCAGTTATTTCTGCATATTTATGTTGGTTATGACTGAGAAGTACACAGTTACCTCAGCTTCGCCGGGCTTATTATTATATTAGTCATTTTATTCTGCTGGACTATAGCTTTATTTAAATCGTCAGGATTTACGTCCTCATTATAAAAACTTTTATCACGTTTCAGTTCAGACGTGTCGATCATATCTGTCATTGTTACGCTGAGCATTTCTGCAGGGACTGTGTGTGTGTGTGTGTGTGTGTGTGTGTGTGTGTTTCACTGCTCTACAGTTAAAGTCTTGCAAAATAAAAACAAGGAGTTTCTTGTTCGACAACAATGTGAATCAATTCAAAGGCTCTTATAGCACTAAGCACCAGATTATAAGATTTCTAAGATATTATAATTGTAATTATACGATGTTTAAAGTGCAGACGGTAAACTGGAGAAGTTTTTAAAAAAACGTTGGGGAGCTTCATACAAAGCAACAGGAGCAGCTTTGGGCTAAATATAATTTATTTTTTTAATTAGAACATTTAACCGGTGGATGATCTTATAATCGGCTTCATCAGCAGCTGAGTTGATTTGTTTTTATTATTTATTCATACGGGTTCGTATGTTTTTGGAATTGTTGAAATTTGTTTTCACAACAGATCAGAGTCCAGATTTGAGCAACATCAGTTCCTAAGAAAAAACCAACAAAGGTTTAATAATATTGTTTCATAGCAGTACGTTGGTGTCTAGTCTGATCTGGAGGGTTGGATCAGCCTTTTAGCCTCCACAGAGCCGAGCAGAGAGGAGAGCTGTCTGCTGAGGTGGGAATTCACAACATGACTTCCTTTATGTCCGAGCACACAGCTGTAGGATCACCTTCATGTAACAAGCTGTGATTGTGATGAAAATGTTGTATATTTAAAATAAAAAAATAAGTTCACTTCAGCACTGGTTGATGATGGAATTAAGTGCAGTTTAAATGTTTCGAATGTTATTTTTGGAGTTTTCATTAAGTTACTCGGATAAAGACACCAACGGATGAACATAAAACCAAAACGTACAGGTCCAGTAGTGCTGCACTGTTTCCTTGTTTTGTTGCTTCCTCGTGGAAACATTTTGCCTGTTTCTGAATATTTAAAACATTTACAAATGATCCACTGGCTGTCAGACAGAGAGAGTTGTCTCTATAGATGATCTGTGTTGTTATGATTGTGTTCCTGTTCTGGGTATCGGTCCAGTTAGAGTCGGACCAGTCAGGATGTGAAGGAGCATCTCTGCTGCTGAGAAGTGGGCTCTCCCAGTCCCCACATGGGCTGACGAGCATTTCCATATTATTTGTTCTGTTCTAGTAGTAGCTACATAACAGCTGTGATATTAAACATTCAGTTTGTGGCTGTTTGTGGTGTTTATGTCGGGTTACAAGTTCCTGTATTTTATAAACTTGGTGTAATTTGCTGATATTGTTTTTTCGTAGCTGACTAGTTCCAAAGGTTTTGGCCTCGGGCCGTTGGAGAGAGCGATGTAAATGACGGTGATAAGCCTTGGCAACGCGCAGCGCTGTGGTGGAGCAGTGACAAGGAGCAACCGTAAATTGCTCATTGTTCCCTGTTTCCTCCTGAGTAATTTGGGCTTGTATCTTTTCATCAGTTTACTTCTGGTTTCCTTGATTATGCAGACAAAACACAAATGTGGAGCGCGTCAGCCCAACTCAACAACAGCTGGCCTCCCGTAGCTGCTGCCACGGCACAAACAGTCGTGGACGCAGAGCCGGTGACATAAATTCCAATCAGTGCGGTGGACGTGGGAGTAAACACAGGTGGCGGCTGACGCGACGCGAGTGGAGCTCCAGTTATTTTGCCAAGGAACCAGAATCATTTGTCTTTTGGGTCTTTGTTGTTTGAGTGTAGTATGAAACTCAGTGACATGCAGGTCACAGTTTGCTCACACGGAGGTTGTTTTGAATCCGTCTGCTGAACCTCTCGAGGCTTCACCATGTTTAGAGGTTTTGGGGCTGCAGGCTGACGTACTCTGTCTCACAGGAAACACATCCCCGGTTTGTCTGGTTTCTCTCTGTCAGTCTGTGGTTTTGCAGCAGTGTGTGTTATCGAAACACAGCTTAAATACTGGATTATCAGAAAAAGACAAGATCTAAATAAGTATGCGTACCATTTGAATCAATCAAAAGGTTTCATTTATCTACAGCCTCCCTGTACCAGCGACATGTGGAGATGGTCATATATCATTGTCACTGACTAAATAACACCTCTGACTGCCACACGATGACACAGACAATAATTACCTTATTAGCCTGATATTCAAGGGCTGCTTTTCTTATACAGCAGGCATAACCTAAATTACACGTGACACATGATCTTATTACATAATTACTGTAGAAGCCAGTTGGTGAAAGGCAGGCAATGAAAGACATCCCCGCTCGTCTTTGAACAGCTGACAGGATCACCGCGGCGTCGCTGAGAGTCGATGTTTAGCTTGTGTTTTGGCCACGAGTGTGTTTGGCAGCGTCGCTGTTTGGTGTTTGTTAAGAAAAATACATTAGCTAACAGGATGCGTCGTAAATTTGTCAAGATCTGATACGCAAGACAAGATATGGAAACCACCTTTTCATGTCGAAGTGACTGGTGAAAAAAAAACAGGAATCAAAGAGTGAGTTCAGCGGGACGCTGCCATGTCGAGGAGGCCAACCTTCAGAGGCACAAACAAAATACTGGCAGCACTCAGTGAATGGAAATGATATAATTTCATAACTTTTTTGACATTGAAGCAAAGTTTCTTGAATCAAGCCGGTTCCAAACTTTGGGAACGGCAGCGGCAGCTCAAAGGAAAACAAACTGAAACTGGCACGACTTCGTTTCATTTGAATTTACAGTTTTCATCTTTCCAGAGGCTAAGTATCGGCTCTCAGGTTACTCACAATAAATTTTGTTTTCAGTGTGCCAGGCTGAAAACCTTTAGCCGAAGCAGCAGAGGCATCTATCGACCGACTCACTGACTCACGTTTATCAGCTTAATCAATGAGACTGATCCTCATGTTCAGAGGATACCGTGGTTATGAGCAGCAGTGGAGGAGAATCCATGCTGTGGTGCTGAACTGCAATCTGGGCTTAATGGCTTTAAATCAGTAGAATAGGTGACCGGCTGGGAGCTTCTCAAAGGGCCTGACTGGTTCTAGGCTGTCCCCGTCTGAAGATCACTGCCCAGATGGATGTAAGACACAGAGGCAGTGTCTGGTCGGAGAAGGAAAAGATCAGAGAGAAAGAGAAACCAAAAAAATGGGGAGGTGTTCGGTGGGGATGGAGGAGCGAGAGGATGAGGCAGAGACTGAGCTCATGAGTCACTGTCGCGCTGTTTCTGTAAAACACCATCCGATGACTTCAAGCGCTATAGAAAGGCCCGGCAGAACCCGGCAGAACCCGGCAGAACCCGCAGAGACCTCGCGCACACAAACACGCATGCATGTGCACACACGACCCCTATCAAACACAACACACTGACAGGTGGGGCCTCACAGTAATGCCTACCCTTCCACTGTCTTTCCTCCCACCGGCCCACTGCTGCCACCTCCCTCCTCCTGCCCCTCTCCCCTCCTTTCACAGAAGTAGTCTTTAAGCAGAGGAATGCAGTGGTTTTTTAGCGGGGTGTGCATGTCGCCTCATGCCCACCCCAGGGTTCTCACGACGTCCCGTCTTGTTTTTAGCCCTAATTAGTGGCTGCTGGCAGTTTGGAAACAGATGTTTAAAACCCTGCAAAAGATTTTAGACTTCAAACACCGGGGCGGAAAGTAGAAAGAGATTCGCCCTTCCTTCCCTCCCCTCTTCCCCCTCTCCTGCTCTGCCTCCTCCAGCTTCACTGGAGCAGGCTGCAGAAATAATCCCGTACAGTCGGCGAACAAGAAACGCATCTGAAGTGATGTCACCACAATATGAACACTGTGCACATGTAGAGTCCAGGCTGGACCTGCTGCTCTTCATACTGAACAATATAAAATACTATTCAGAGTCATTAGAGGAGGACAAGACGAGAGGTTGTTTGTTTTTATTTACAGATTCTCAGCATTGGTTTTGTATTTCGTGGCTGTTTTTAGATCAACTTTAATTCTGATGCAAACACACACAATGCAATGTTGTTATTTTCCAGTAGACCAAAGGAATAAATGCTACTGTTCAGCAGTCAGGACGTGTTTAAAGCAGCTGCTTCTGACATGAAAACATCAGCAGGCAGTAAATTTCTCAGATACTTTTTTTCCTTCCTTTCCTCCTTGAGCATTCTTATCTATCGCTTAAAGAGCAGCGCACCTCAAAACAAATGCTTGGCACGCTTCCTTGTGTTCATGTTGCAGAGCTTAGAGCCATGCTGAGGTTCTGTTGAATCCTGCCTGTTCATTAGGCAGGTGGTGACAGTGCTGGCTATGCAACAGTCTGCTGTGTTACTGGCAAGCGTCGTCTGGTAATTACAATTTACCATCAGGGCCTGACTGCAGGGGAGTAAGGAGAGACGGTGTGCAGCGCTTCAGGAAGGAAACGATGCATTTCAACTCCTTTTTTTTATTAAAAATATGCACACTTGG